TATGTCAGTTTATTTTTAAAGAATAATTGTGAAATTTTAATGTACATAGGTATTGTTACTACCTATTATAGTATTATAGAGTACTAGAGTGCCTATATATTATTAACGCAAGTCGCGTGACTGAAATTATACTCTGTTGACATTTTAAAATTTGTATATAGTACTATAGTCACATTAAGTTAATTATTCAGGAAAAAAAATCATTCAATGATTTAGTGTTCTGTGATACTGATTAAATTATTAATTTAATTAATTTTAAGCTACACAATTAAAAAAAAAAACTATGTGTGTATTTATTTGAGATAAATATTTTACAAGCATACTATGCATGAATAAACATTTGCTTTAGACAAATGGAATAATACATATAATATTGGTGCCTAATAGAAAGTCGATTGAATGTAAAATAGAATTTTATTTATTATTTACAAATGTTTAATAGTACAAAAATTACTTGTGTTTATAGCTTACTATGAGTATGTTTAAATAACATTTGATAATAAAATGTTTTTATGAAATTAGCTTTATATCACATTATCTCAATTATTATTAATTGAACTTATTGTGTTTTTATGAAAATTACAAAACACCATCATCAACATCTCTGTAGGTAACTAATTTGCCAGACGTTTCTATACATTTTGAAAAACATTTACAATAATTTGTGAATTATCTTTATCAGAATGATTACTTTGATTATCTCGTGGTTACGAAATTTGTCCTTTGACATATTATAATATTATAGTTTTGTACTTTTGTATGTGACATAATTTCGAGGACTGTAACTATATAATTAATATTATCGTAAGTTTGATATCTTGAATATTATCTTGATTTTAATGTTGTAATTTTATCAAAACAAATTTGAAACTGAACTTGATCGAACAAAGTCATTATACCTCACGTTAACATTTCATATAATATTTATTAAGGTCGTTTGGTGAAAATATTATACATTTCTATACTTTCAACGGCCATTGAGGTCAGTTTAGAAGTATATATTGAAAGCGCGTGATTACGTTCTTCTGTAAAATTGTGTTACGGAATAGATCTTTCCTGCAGTGGCTTTTACCTGAGGTTGCAATTTATTTTCTAACCAACACTATTATTTCACCACACTATCCACCGGATTATAATTTAATTAAAATAAATAAATTACGAATAACAGCAGTTCCATCCCTGTCTGAACTGAAATTAAATATTTATAGGTAATAGTATAGGTATATTATTGGATAAACGTTTGACCTGCAGGAGTCCTCATATTAAGAAAAAGAGAAAATCAGCACATACTCGATTACATCTCCTCCGTCCTCTTATAAATTCCAAAATTTCACTACGTAACAAACTTCTGATAAATGATGAATCATAAGGCTTGTTTGGCCCACGGAATTGCAATCTGGGGTCCTGTCGAACCCTCAAATGTCGGACCAATTCTGCAGTGATTCCAATCCATTGCACAACTATTGAATTATGTATCCCGCAATGATTTATAAACGTTTTCATCAACATTTAAGCATGCCTAATCATTCACTCAGTCCTCTATTATCTCAACCATCACATTCCTGAAAACCTATCACGCAGACTAAAATGTAAATGGTGTAGAGGCCTATCAATGTAATTAAGAAGTGTTACCAATTAGTGATTTCCTCATAATGTTATTCATGTATTAAGTATATCATATTATAGTATATTAATTTATTAAATTAACCCATTGTTATATTTTTGTAAAGATCGTAAATTACTGTTTTAATTTTAAAATTATTTGAATTTATTACGAGCAATAGCGACGTCTATGTTATTTTGTCTCAAAATAATAAAAAATTCTACATTAGTATATATTTGTTCGATTGCCTCAAGCATAAAACAAATCGTTGTTGCTTTGACGAGTTTATTACCTATTACGTACTTGACATTTTAACAGTATAACATTACGATGGCGACGAATATAAAACTAAGACAATAAAACAATTTTTACAAGACGATATTTACCTTCATTTTCAAACTCAATTATCTATACTTATAGAATATGAATCTGAGGACTTAATATTTTTACGTTTATCGAATTATATCGTATTTATTATTATGATTTATTTCAATCACACATGCAGTGAAGAACAACGATTATTAGACTATAAGCAAATAATAGTCTATAATATGAGGATCCTGATGTAAAACTGGAAAAGTCTGATTTTATTATAAAATTAAAAAAAAAAATAAATACAAAATTGTTACACCTAAGGAACAGGTACATTTTTATGCTGTGTAAATAATTTGTTTACCGTTGCAATCGTATTATACTAATTCGTAACGATGAGGGTGATAAAGTAAAAACGACAGTTGTACAACAGCGGTAAACTACGGAAGGAAAAAAATATCAATTATCGTATCGATGTTTGACGAGGACGATGGCGCTCGTAAATCGAAATACAAAAATACCAAACGCGTTTATATAATAATTAATGTCGGTACGACCCAACGCACTAGGGTATTATATTATTGTTATAGTAAAAGCGATAGGAGATGAAAACCCATATTGTGAAAACCTAGCGAAGTGTAATAAATATATTGCGATAAGTGTATATAGCGGTAGAATACGGTTTATGAGTTATGAGTCGTAACTTACGACAGACGAATGTGTAGACGTTTGTGTGGCATCACTACAATAATATATAATACAAAATTTTATACGGACGATAATATTATGTGTGTGTGATGTGTCTCCGGCGGGGGCGTCGAGATTCGCTGGACCGATACGGACTGCGATGACGTACCTACTGTTAGGTATTTTTTTTCACCCCCACCATAACAATAACAATATAATGTTTTCATTTTTCATATTTTCGTATTATTACACGCGCTATTCGTTCAATAATAATGTATGGACGACGTACTGCGTGTAATTCACACGCAGAAAATTTAAACAACGCTCGTAGTGAGCTCAGAGGTATATTTATGCTCGTACGACCAATATCATAGGAGGTACGATTATTGTGTTGTGCGCTATATTTTATGTATAACGCATGTCACGGCGATCGAATTCGATTTTAAAGCAAAATGATGCGTTTTTAACTGTGTGCACATCACGAACCATATATAATACAGGAAGGTGTGTTGTTGTTTGTTGTACACGTCTCGTACCAGAGCAGCAGTGACGCGACCGATGGATATTTTGTGAAAATGTTCATAACGCACTTGTACAACAGCGGTCGCATGAAATTTGTTATCAATTTGATAAATAATAATGCCCACGGGTCACTAAATCGTGTTCCATTACCTCACTATTAATAATTCGTTAAATGTTTAATGATTGTCCACACGACCCGGCATGGATGCACTAATGTACCTACCTACCTGTGTTTAGTGGTAAACCTTAGAAATGTCATTAATTTTCAGTGATGATAATTTGAGAGAGTTTAGTTTTCAAGAAATTAACTTGAACGAGTAGGTACGTTTCTGAATTGTTCACTGACAGATAATGCTATTTTCATTGTTGTGAAAAGCAAAATAATTAGTTTTCAACTGTGTATACATAGGCGCCAGGTTTTAAAAAACTTAATGGGCGCCTTGGTATCATAGGCATAAATGCACAATTTTTGAGGGAGGGGGCTTAGTCACTGGTCAAGACAATGTCCCCGTAAAATTTAAAAAATGGAATTGACTTTTCAGGGGGGCTAGTTTCAATTTAACCCCCTAAAATTTTACCAAATTGATAACTTATTCATAAACAATAATAATAATAATAAGTAAAACAAAAAATAAAATAAATTTAATTTGACTGTTCAGAAAATAAATGTGTTTTAACGTATTATATATAATATAACTTTCAACTATAGTTGAATTTATAAATGAGTTAGCTATTATTTATCAATATCTACATCTTCATTACGACGGTCAAGCAATAAAGCAATATCGTTAACGATTTTGTTTCATTGTAGACCTTAAAAATGTTTTTAATCTTCAATGTGCCGAAAAAATATATCATACCGAAATCAAGACGATACCGAAACAGTCAAAATAATAATAATTTTGTAATTTCTCTCATTAGCCAATAGCCATAGATTGTTGATGGATACTTCAGCTGTAATTGAATATCTACCACGAGGTAGGTTAGTGGTTACTAAACTTTACTATCTTACATTTTATTATCAATACAATTTATTTTTGTTTTCAAAATTTCGAAATTGCAATTTTTATCACAGTCAGAATTTTATTTCAATAGTCGTTTGCTAAAATTTTTGAAACTTGGATATAAATACACGCTATACGTCTATACATGTTCAGTATTCTAATGGGTGCCCAGCATCCCATAATAATTTGAATGGGTGCCTGAGCCCCCGGGCACCCTTTCACCTGGCGCCTATGTGTGTATACATTACGATCCATAAATCGTGTTCCATTATCTCACTATTAATAATTTCTTAAATGTTTAATGATTGCCCAAGCGACCCGGCGTAGGTTCACTATAATATACCTACCTACCTGTGTTTAGCGGAAACCGATTGAAATGTCGAAATATCATTATTTTTCAATGATGACAATGTGAGCGCGTTCAGTTTTCAAGAAAACGAACAGGTTTTTGGATTGTTCACTGACAGGTAATGTTAAATTTCACAGTCTTATCATAATTAATTATAACTATGTACTAATTAATTAAAGTTACCTATATATTGTAGGTACCTAATATTTTATATTACACATTGGAGTAGACCATTTCTTCCGACAAGTGTTCTTGTCAAAGATATGAAACATTTCGGTGGACGGATATTTACGTATTTTCATTGTAGCTTGTATATTATACGAATTGAGATAAAAGATTTTATTTATGTGTGTTTTACTATGTATTATTCACTATCGTCGGGCGTCTCCCGATCGCAACAATATTTTCAACAATATTAATTGTATGGACATTTCCACATAAAAAACTTCCATTTTACGATATTTTCTATTAAACGAAATATTTTTCAGAGCCACGACTAAATTACAACCCAATTTAAATTCTATTATTTTAATGAATTTCTACGAATTTCTTTTATTGCCCGTCGAGACTTTGAATTATGGTAGTTTGACTGTACTTTTATCTTACACCTTAGTTTAATTTGATGAACTGGAGCTTGAACTAGTTCGCTTTTAAAAAGAACTTTCAACTTACCCATCACTGCTATTTCGTATAGAACATGCGCACGAATGCCACTTAATGATTTCATCGGAAAATCTTTTTCATAAATAGCATGCACTTCTCCTATAGTGTTCATGAAATCACCTAACACGTTTACTGTGTTTACAGCAAATATACCGTGCAAACTAACATTAAGCAACTGTCGGATATCCATCCGTGACGTTTAAAAAGGTTTTTGCTTTTCCTATTTATCACAGTTATTATTTCATTATTATTATTTTAAATATGTCTTTCATATTGTATACCCATCGGTAGTTACTATATAATTAATGATCAAAACGATCACCAATCGATTTTATACTTGATTTGAACTTATTGCGTTATGCGACTTGTAGTGTGTAATAAAACAGAAAAAAACCAGAATAATGCAATTGCAATAATTGCAATAATAAAATAGTATATGATTACATTGTTTTTCACGACCGATTTTCATTAACATAATGACACTGCAGTTAATTACTTTATTATACCTTTAATGTACGAAGCCAAAAACATACATGTATCTAATAATGTTATTAGTTTTTTACATGCGTGATTATAAATTATATAATATTATTAAAGTAGAAAAATTTTCAAATTCTGAGAAGGAGTAAAAATGCCATAGGTTGGTATGTCTATAAGACGTATTGAACAGGTTTTCCATTGATTGTGCTTTAATATATGTTTAGCAATTACTTATTTTATATGTTTTAATAACTTTATTTAGTAACACCATTTGGAGCAGACAACGTTATTAAAATAAAAAATACACGTGGGAATGGGGGATCTGTATAAACTATTTATATTTAAATAATTATGAAAACTGCTAAAAAGGTGAAGGACAGTGGATCCAACACGTGGTGCACCCGATTGTCGAGTAACTGTATTTGTGGAATTGTCGTGATTTTTTCTTTCGAGAATTGTGTCGCAATTTATCTAATCACTGCCATATGGTTGATTTATGATACGACTCATGCCGTCGATTTACTTAGGTCCTTAAACCCGCTATAAATTATTCATGTCGAGTAACGTGAAGTATATAACTTATATATATACCGTGCTCGAGCAATCGAGCCTCCGAGCAAGTATTACCTTATGCAGTTATGGCGTTAGTTATGTGTTATAATTCCCGTCATGCGGATATCGTATCCGTCGAATTATCGATTTCCTAAGGATGGCTGATTCGTATGAATGTTGGTATTAATATTTAATTATTAATAACTTATTATGGTATATCAATAAAAAAATTTAAAAGCGCATGCATATTATATATTTATTCAAAGCGTTGATTGAATTTATTGCATATTTTATTATATCCATAGATTATTCAGAAATCTTACTAAAAAATATTTAAAACTAATAGATTTTTATTAATAATTAATTATTATAAATAATGTAATAATTTATACGTTATATAATCATATAAAATATATTCTATTGTTGTACCTACATGCATTTAAAAAGCCAGATATCAATTATTAAGTTTTCTTAAACTTTGACTTAGCTAAAATTTAATAATAATATATGTGACATAATAACATCATTAATATCCAACATATTTGTCTTCTACGCTGTCAGACCCATAACACATATGCAAAAATGATTAAACATATTATTTTTGTTTTAAAGTGAAATTCATATAAATATTTTTTTGATGTTTTTAACCATTTAAAGGAACACCGTTATTTTTTATTATTTAATAACATGTCTATGATCTATAAATTTGGTGAAGTGAGTTAAATGTTTATCTCATAAGTTAGGTGCCAAGTGGACTTCAGCCACATATATAATATTTTATTAAAAATATTGAATTTCTTTTGACATGTCATGTAGTTGATGTGTATTTGTGACAAGGGTAACAACTTTTTAAAATATTGACTATAAATAGAAACTAAGAATAAATTTGTGCAATAGTATAAGAATAATATAATATAAAATAAAGTCAGTGAATATATTAGTTTGCTGTCATCCATATTTATTTCAAAATATGTATTAGTTTTTTAAGCATAAGCTATAGATAAGCATTTGATATCTGAATATGTATAAAATGTTGATTAAAAATAAAGATTGGGTCATTTTTCAAAAATCATAAGTTTGTTGTTCCTAAGTATTCTTTTGAAAAAACTTTGCCTTAAATGTTTACTTTACCAATGATTGTAATATTTTTTCAATATATTCAAATTGTATTGTATTTATCTAATATCTATTCATTCGAACTGTATTGTTAAGACATAATATCACCACCAATATATTTTCTTTTATTTACGATAATTTTATTCCATCTCTTATAGGTGACACGAAATCTATCAAATAAGTTTTGTTAAACGACCTTCTAAAAAAATAAAAAACTATAAAAATCTTTTGTCACCATTATGCCTATTCAATTTAATTCTATAGGTATATTTTGAATGTGAAAATAAGACTTAATACAAATATTATAGTTATTGGTACTACGCTGTAGTACATGCATATCATTTGGTAGTCAATGACACTAAACGCTATATTTATTTATTTATTATTCAAGATAAAATTGTATAGGTATTTGTAAATGTAGTTAATTTGAATAAAAGTTTGCTCGTTTATTTATCAAGTGTTTATTGTGTTTAATGTGCATGCAAAAAAAAGAATTTATTATATTTTTAAATTATATAGTTGCACATTGTTTAACCATAAATACGAAAATTTGGTCTTAAATCTTGATTATTTAACAAATAATATAAGAGTGGTTAAACAAATATTAACACGTCAAAGAAAGAAATGTGTCTATAGGTCGGTACTATGTAGAATGTACTAAAATTTAAATCTCAAAAATACACTGGCGCAGATATATATGTAATTTACATTGATCTACACGATTCCATTGTTTAGTGTACTACATATGTGCTACAGTTAAAAACCAAACACGAAACTGTGTCCTACGGTTTCTTTCAAGTTGCACTCGTCGTGTCCAGACGTCCAGAAGATAATTACGACGTCTTAGCGAAAATGTAAATAAAACTATTTTTATAAATTGACTTTTCAATGGGGCACAATGCACTCATGCGTCAGTTATTTTATCGGAAAACAACTTGTTAACTGCAAAATACATAATTATCGTAAAAACCAGACTGCCTTGTAGGTACATAGTATAGCTTATAAACAAAATGTATTTAAATTCAAATAGTCGCGTGCATTAGAATGTGTCACGATTAATCAAGTTCCACATAAATCAATGAGTGCATAATATACAACCCATACAATTCTCACGTAAAAACGATGGATTTTAGTTTTTACATAATATTCACGTTGTTACAAATTATAATATTTTGGTAGGATTCAGGAGACTGATATTTTGAAGGCTCATGATAATGGCGTATGTAATAATCCGGCAGGAAAAATGATTTCCAGTGATGTGTGGGAACATTTAAATTTATTGTGACTCAGAAATCCAATAATTATTATGCAGCCAATAAGGCCATTTACGAATTTATATAAGCAACATGTACCGTATGTATGTTATTGAAATCAGGAACGACGGAATGATTGAAAATTTAATTTACTAAAGAAGTGTGGGTACCTTCATTGTACATACGTCTTGATGATAAGTCTATACAGAACTTTTTGTGCCATATAATGATCTTAAATCGATTTTGATTTGGTTTAACCATACTTTTATAATAATTAAACTATTCGCATTACTACATAAGACCCATACAATTTACCATTGGCAAGCTGGGACATCCAAAGGTGTCTTTTAGGTTTTTTTATACGTAGATGGTAGATAATATATACATCACTTATACAGTTATACAGTTACACCTGTCGCAAACATGTGTTCTGCTGCAGTAAACGTATCGTCAAAATATACAAATCGTATTAGTGGTTTATCGTATTTTAGTAAAACGAAAGAGGAAAGTGGCTGTGTACAGTTGTTTTACGCTTTTTTCAGTGTAACGACAATATTAGATAAACCTTAAATATTATTTCAATAGACATTTGGAAGGATTTGTCGGGTATACTTAATAGAATGCTACAAATTTAAACTGTCAACATTGAACAACAAATTGAGAGATAATATATAGCTTATTTAAAAAAAATAAAACTTAGGAATACTGCGAAAATTAAAAGGCACTGACAAATTATGTACGTATCTCTTTCACCTTACGGATACACGTACTATGTACGTCTATGTATGGTCTATATTATATTATATACCGTACATGGTACATCTGTAATATTATACTTCACTCGAATAATGTCTTAGAGATAACTTATTTTTTTTCTAGTTGTATTGTTGTATATTATAATATAATACAACATTTCGTTATCGCGAAGCTGTCACCGGCAGGATCGACTCGATCTGTCGGTCTACAAAAACCATAACGGGTCAGATAGTTGTGGTTGTTAACGTGGTTATACCGTTTTGAATTTAACAATACGACGTTATGACACGCACCCGCGTCACAGTAAGTACCTATTCACCATAATATGTAATGTAATAGCCCAATAAAAATTTGTAATCCATCCGAAGCCAGTGGTACAAATATTCAGGAAGTCAATCGGAAAATGGTATTTAGAATTCAAAAGTCGTTCACTCAAAGCCGATAACGATATTTTAACGTTTCGGAGACGTGCATTAGCCCCTTTCATTACGTATTTTCGCCCAACTGTATGATCCACTCGCCTGACACAGACGAGTCGTGTGGAAACGAAAGTAAAGTACGAGGGACCATTTTGGATAGGTATAAAGAATAATAATATATAACAATGTAATACAAGAGCATAGCTAGAAATTTAATCAGGGAGGGGGGGCAAGACGTGTAGTTTAAAATTTCAAAATATACCTTGTGATAGGCTTGAGCGGTTGGAGTTGACCGCTATGCATCATTTTCAAATAGCTCCTAATTTCGAAAATTAAAATATAAGTATATGGAATAGTATTCACTATTCTTATTATATACCTACATATACCTAATTGCAACTTTTATAAAGTTATTGCAACACAACAATAACCTATACATCTTCAAACAGTGATATAGAAATATAATATATATAATGATAATAATAAATATATCTAATATATATATATATACATAACATATAGGTCTAGTTTGACGTTTATTTCGAGAGTAAATGAAAGTGGGTAAATTCCGTGTAAAGAATAATATAATATACTTACACAGTACACAGTACACC